GGTCCTCTTCAAAACGTATTTTTGGCATTTTATCGGAAGTTCGATTTGAAAAAGGCGTTTTCTTCGTTTGCTGAACAATCATGTTTCTTAAATGAGATCACCACTTGCTTGCCTTCTTCCATCGCAAATCTGTTTCAGTTCGTAAGATTGGGTCTAGTTTTGCCTCATTTGCGTAAATAGACATACACGTTCTTGTTTGTGTAGATCGTTCAGGTCTCTTCTCCATTCATCGACGAAACTTTTTGTTCTTCCTGGCTTTAGATACAACACCTCGTGCAATGGCCTTTACAGTCGCATAACACGAGAACTCTATCGCGTGCTTTCTACTTGGATTGAGGGCAAATCGGCAGCTACCTCAGACCACTTTTCCGCCTCGGCCTCCTCGTCTGTTCCCACCACATCAGCTACTAGCGAAAACACTGATCACTCGTCCTCTAGCGACCCCGCACGCAAGGAGATCACGGGGGTACCTCGAGTTTCCTTGGGCATGGCGGTAGACTCTCTCAACACTCTCTATGGCACTCTTACCTGTATTACCGAGTTTGGTGGCAATTGTCTCCGCATGCTTGTTTTTCCTCGTCTACCGGCGCTGTGCAGACGCCTCACTCGTATGACCACTGCTTCAACTTCTGCAACTTCACAATCCACTCCATCAATGTCCAATTCAGCAGAGATGGTGGTGGTAATGGATCAAGAGGGTTTTCAGCAAACCTTCAACGCTTCTGCTACGACTCTACTTTCCAACGCTGAAATGAGGTCGCTGGACTCGCTTAAGAAACTCATGAATGTGAGTGGCCACTTTGTCCACTTTAATCTGTTTTAATCCTTTTTTTCATTGGCTTATCGATTGTTTCGTGCAGACGCGATTCGTTAGCCTTTTGGCGGAGTGGCGTGTAAGGCAGAATCTGCCAGTGACTCTGGAGGCCTACAAGACGGACTATGGAGTTATGGCCTCATGTCTGTTTGCGGTGGCTGCGTCAGCAGATCCACCTCGTCCTCATGCGACAACTGCTGGTGCACTTATCGTGACTAAACCACAGCCTCCTCTCAATGTCTCTCGCTAGTTGCATAATCCCTTCTCTAGACTGACCTTGAAAGATCTGTACAAACTTGTCTGTGTATTTCATAATCATGTGTATTCTCCACTTTGTCCTTCTCAGAATTTATGATGTGGGGTCCAATCAAGTGGAATTTGGCCTTATGACAATTTTTAGGACACCTGAGTGGCGTCTTGGTCTGGTGCACAAGGTTTGGGGCGCTCCTGTTGCATTTAGAGGGTCTTACTGCAGGTCTAAGGGTCAATGTTTTCTGAAGCTCATCGAAACGAGTCTCGTAATACATTGGTCGAGGTTTAAAGCTGGGTAGTTTTCCCGGTGTACTTCAACTAGTTCTCAAAGCGAACGAGTACACAATGCCGACCACAAGTAAAGAATGCATGGAATAGTCGCAGCGTCGATTTTTTGTCGAGCCAGTAAGTGCTCAATTTTCATGCCCATGCACAATTGTATCTGTGCAGCCATATAAGCAGGGTAAAGCTGTGTCGAGGTTTGAGATTTCAGTAGATGATTGATTTCATGACATTTCGCTTGATAACAACTGTAATGGAGTAATAGGTAAATAGTCTATGGTCTAGTTGTAGATTCATTTTTGAGGGATGGTAGCTTTTGAGGATCGTTGAGTTGTGTAAAATTCTCAGTTGACAAGAGGATTACAAGCTGTTTGCCGCTCCGTTGGGTTTCAATTTAACTTGAACAGCAAAATTCGAAGTCGCCTACCGTGTAAAATAAGTTTAGCTTTACTTAATAGCTGCAGGTGATTTGAATTCCATTTTTCGCAACGCCTCATGCAAAATGATGTCGGACAACACCGTTTGTGACAACGCCAAAAATTTGACGTGGCACACTAATGGAAGGTTTCTTAACCTTTGGCATAAGGGAGAGCTACTGGTTGTAAGTAAGCCGAAGTCGAAATGGAGTAAAAGTTTCCAGTGGATTAAGGCAAGACAATTCCAGATAAATGAGTACTGGTGATTTCAAATA